GTCTCACCTACCAATTGAACAACCTACCATTCTAACTGTTCAAGGAGTTGATTTTCACTCCCAGTCATAGCAACTAGTGGATCGATTTTCTTGTTGTATCTGTAAAACCACACAGAATGCTTGTTCAGATGGCATCTCTTCTTCTTCCCACTATTATAAACAGCCAGAGAAGATTCAAGGCCCCTTTTCATTCCTTCCTCCACCAATATGTAGTAGTAGTACTTGACTATGCTGTCACCACTGTCTACAGCTTCATCTTTTTCACAATCTACCTCCTGGTCAAGACAGGGCTGCAGGGACTTTTCAGTAACATATAATTTCAGCTTATTTATACATTTAATGCACTATTGTATACACACAGTGCTGAATCTCATATTAATGGATTAAGCTACCATTGAATATGGGCCAGTCCAAAAGAATATGAGTGGTTGTCATGCTACTAGGGTACACCAGAGCCACATCCAATCCCTTCATTCAAACTGGTGTTCTTTTTTTGTCTCTTTTTGATGCATACCCTCGTCTGTCAACGTTCCCCTTTGTTGAAATACAAATTCATTCATGTTAATTAACTTGGAAGGGGTTTGGTAAGATTAAGGGCTATTCTATGAATAATCCACAAATTGCTGCCAGTTTTCCCTGGTGTGGATGATTTTTCCTCTGAGAGGCACAGGAAGTTTACCAACACTCTATGTCCTTGCAGGAATGTGGCCAATGGAACTGTCTTTGTATTTGTTTGTTTGTAGTTAACCAAAGCTATACAATGGGCTATCTGTGCTGTGGCCACCATAGATATTGAAACCAAGTTTCTAGCATTATAAGTCAACTGGGTGGGGGCTGTCTATGCAAGTTAACTTTAGTGCAAGATACTCCTTGGTGTACCCCAACAAATGTACTAGGTAATCTCCACAGATTATTGTTCACTGATCTGTGAAGGTCATGCTTTGCCTTGCTGCACAGTAAGGACCCAAGGTCCTTCTTACAGCTTTTTTTTGTTGTTACAACTAGCATACATTTACCAGCAGAATCCACATCATATGTATGGTTAATCATAATGACTTAGACATTAGGTTTCATTGCAGTATAATGTATGAGGTTTGGACATTCTACAAAGGAACAGAAACTTGCCTATTGGCAAGAAGGCATATCTGCATTTCAATGCTCCCTGGCAGTCAATGTTGAACAACAAAATTGTAATCCTCAAATGCTGTGATATAACATGGGGCCATACCTTCCAGTTCTAAAATTTCAACCATTGTAACACTATCACTGGGAATAGTTCTTTCTTTCTCATACAATAATGCTGTTTGGTGGGCATGAGTGTACAGCTTGTGTATAGTATAACATGCTCCACACCATCTTGTACTTGTGATAGCACTGCTACAATTCCTTTGTCACTGGCATTTGTATCCAGGATGAATAGAACATTTTTGTTTGGATAAGCTGACACAAGAGTATTAACCAAGGCACATATTAATGACTAAGATTACTGTTCAGTTCACCTACAATGGGAATGAACTTTAATTGAAAAAGTTGGCCATGAAACATCTATAAAGGAGGTAAAGCTGAGAAAGCTTTGGGCTTCATTTGTAATTGTATGTTTGAGCCAGTCTACCACTGTTTCGTAGGCTTTTTTGTTAAGAGCAAAAGAGGTATTGAAGACCCAATCCAACTACCATTTTGGCAATAATTAGATCTTAATTACTTGCAACAAAATTTATTTAAGTGAAGTAATCTGTGCATAGTTACTTGATCTCCATAAAAACAAGATGTTCGTGAATGTAATGAACAGAAGGACAGGTTTAGTGATTTGCTGCAGATGAAATGAAAGAAACAAGACAATGTGTTGAAGATGAAATAAAAAAATCTCATTCACTGAAGTAGAACAAAGGGGTCTGTTAAGAAGTTTATGAGAGATCATGAGTTGTAGGAAATACAAACATGGGTTATGTTGAAGTACACAGATTCAGTACAGGAATAGAATCAGACAAATATGGGACTTCCTCAAGCATGTTTTGGCTCTTTTAAGACAGGAGTGAGTCTGCTTTTCTCAAAGATCAGAGCAACCCTTTTCCCAAAACTTTCACACACACAGAGTACATTCTTTCTTTGTATCTAACCAACAAGAAAAAAAAAGAGTACTGAAATGAAAAAGTATCTCTGCTTCTTGTAACAGTCACAAAGTATCTCCATTCATTAGATCAAGTAGGATATAATGCAACTATCATTAGAAACAACATACAAGTTCCTTGACAGGTCAAGCTACAGAATTTAACACCACAGACTGAATTTGTCACACTATCTCAACTAGACTTAGTATGTTCCAAAATTAAAGCTTATGAGAAAAATATTAACAGATACTGACACTTACACAGTACAAATTCCTACATGCTCTATCAGGTTTTGTTTTATTGTGATCTTCATGTTTCTCAGCACCGGTTGAATTAAAACATGCCAAAGTTTTATCAGAAATATCTTTATCAGGAACTCTTCCAAACTTCTGTTTCTTGGAGTAAATTTTGTGACTTGCAGCTTCTACATCAGAACTTTTGGTGGAAGAATCTTCTCGCTGATCATCAAAGGAATTGTCTGTAAGTAGTAATTTCAACAGTATCTTCATTATCAACAGTCAAAACTCAAATATAGAAGTCACTGTAAGACAAATATCTTTCCAACTAAAAAAAGTGGTTTAGTGTAAAATTTTAAACTATCAGATTTACATGAACTATAATGAAATGATTCAATATATCAGAATTAATTACCATATTATTTTGATTAATAAAATGACGATTTTATTTTTGTACATAAAAATAAATTTTCACTATAACTATACAACTCACATCTTTTTTTTTTTTTTTTAAATTAGCTGCGGGACCTACTTTGTTGGCTATGGACCATATGAAAAAAACCTACAAGAAAAACCAAACTAAATGTAGCCCTTTGAGTTTTAAATACCTATTCAGTAAAACTGCAATGAACTCAAACTAGCAACACAAGATCTATAAAAACATTTCATAATCTTTAACTCTTTAAGATACACAAGTAAACTCAGCTAATTTTTCTGGATTATAGCTCTGCCTACGACCTTATTTAATAATTGGCAATTAACTGCATTTTCTTGGTTAAAATGTCCCAAAAGTTATAATTTTTCCTACGCTAAAAATGTATTTCCAATAGGTACTTCTCTCTTCTCATGCCACAAGCCTTCTGCTCTCCCCCTATTGGAATCAAAAAATTCCAACATGTCTTTCATGCAAATCATCAAGTGTCACATTTTGTCTTAACATGTCATCATCCCTATTTTATCCATCACCCCTCAAAAATGTTCGAAATTAAATGTAAAATGCTCTCTATAAAATCATTATTGCTCAAACAGACCATAATTTTTATAGCCTTCAATACTGTTTGGTTACAGAGCTATCAAAGAGAAAATCAGACCCCTCCTGCCACACCAACCTGTCACATTGTCTCTTTCACAATTGGTCGATAGTTCTCTCTTATGTTTCATTATATATTACCTATGATTAATAGAAAGTCAAGGTTTTCATCTATCAAATGGCATATTGTATAACATTGTGTTCTGAACAGATAACCGTCAATTTCACTCTGAGTAGCAACATCATTCCTCTGGAAAAGTTAACGACTAGCTTGGATGAACGGCTCTTGTGGCATAGTAGGAAAGCCACAAACATTTTTAGAAGTAAGTGAATTTGTCTACTTTTTGCATGTTATTAGTCTATATTCTTTGGAGTATTATTG